TTGAGCCCTCTTGGCACCAACCTGAAAGAACATTATTGCCTGTTTTTTGTTCCCTGCCTAATTTCCCCTCCCTCTATTGTCCTTGTGCTCTCTTCCTCATCCTCAGCATCTGAAACTATGAAATTTTGCTCCTGACCAAGATTATCCTCTGACAGCAGTGTGTGACATCATGTGATTAAATAATGCCTCAGACTGCTCCATGCCAGTTTGCAAGGCTAGGATGGACTTAACCCAGAGGGGAAAAGGAGGGCACATTAGAAGTAGTTGCAGACAACTGGCTGCTCTGTACCTTGGAGGAGGAAAAAGAAGAGGAAAGTTTTGTCAGGTACTCAATCTCCGTCTCCGCATGCTCTGGTTTTATGGCCTGGCCACACTTAGACAGAAAAGGCAGACATGCCATGCTTCTGGATGGTACAGCTTGACCATGGCATTGTCCTGTATAACTTGTTTACACCCTACAACCTCTGCTTGCAGAACCTCTGCCTTTAGCCCAGGGCCTGCCTGTCATTTTGAATAAGGAGGATAGCCTAACTTTGGTGAGTAATACTTTGCCGCACAAGTATGCAGTGATGTGGTGCAAACAAACATCAGCTTGCATGTGTCAGCAAAAGTCTATGCAGTAGACTCTGAAAAAAGGCCCTAGCAATGAAATAAATATATAAAATAAAACATACCAACCCTCCAAAATAAGCTTAACCACCATCCTTATATTTATTTAACCTAGCAGAAACTGAAAAAAAAAATCTATTAAAAAATGGAAAAAAGTGCAAAAGGGGAAGAGGGACATTGTGGCAAAACCGCATATTATTTTGCAGTGTTGAATAACTGCAAATGGTTTGGGTTCACCTTGAACCCATGCTCGACCTGAACCTCATCCCTAATTTGCTGACATATACAAAATAAATTATTAATACACTTCAAAGCCAGTATACATGCAGTAATTGAATTACGGCATGTGAACGTTAGTATCAACAACACTAAGGGGTTGATTTACTAAAACTGGAGCACTCTGCATAGAAACCAATCTGCTTTTAACTTCAGCTTGTTCAATTAAGCTTTGGCAATAACACCTGGAAGCTGATTGTTGTTGCACCAGATTTTGCACCCTTAATCAATCAACTCCTAAGATTTTATAGTATTTGTTCTAACACCACAAGATTCTGGAAAAACAACATGTGAGATTGTGCAGCACTCTCTACAACCTTTCTTTTGCACTCCTGGAATGTGGGCACCAATTTACCAATCCGTTCATTTTGATTGGATACTGGAGGAGTGAAACCTAGAATCTGGCAGCACCCCTATAAACATTGCAGCTTCTATATCATTAAAGCATAGAAAGCATAATTACTGGCACAGATTACAATCCAAAATGTTAAGGTAAAAACACAACTTTAAGGAGTCCAAGGAGGAAAGTAAAAAAATCTATTAAAGAAAGAGAAAACGACTGCAAAAGGGGAGGGGGGGGGAGGGTTGTGTTGTTATGGTGGCAAAATCACCTATTTTTTTTACATGTCCAATACCTGCAAATGGTTTGAGTTCTTCTTAAACCCATGCTCAACCTGAACCTCATCTCAAATTTGCAGCCATACACAAAATTAATTATTTATACCACTCAAAGCCAGTTTGATTAATACAAGTTGTAATTGCATTACAGCATGTAAACTTTACCATCTACAACACTAAAATTTTATATTATTTGTTCTAACAGCAAAAGACACTGGAAAAACTTGGGGGGCTTGTGGGCTGATTTATTAAAGGAATAGAGACTGTTCAACTAGCTTTGTGAGTGTTAACTTTGCAAAGTGTATGTAAAGTGAATGTTAGTAAAGAAGGGGACCTTGTGTTCATTTTGAATAACCAATAATTACTACATGTATAATGAACAGCCGCCACTCGTTCAATAAATGTGTTTGAGAACCTGTACAAAAAGAACAGAGCAAGATGGGTAATACTGAAAATACTTGTTTTATTGGTATAACAATATTTAAATGAAATATATCAGAAAAGTATATTTAATTTGTCATACGTTTGCGGCTATTAAAAAGGCAGAATTAGGTAATGATTCTTCCATTGAAGACAACGAACGCATTTCATTTGTTGTTTTCTTTTATTTAAAGCACAGTTTTTCCTAGAGTATTCGCCACCTTGACATAACAAATATAAAATATTTTCTCCTTTGCAGCAAAGAACAATCTTGTCATCTTATCAGATTGCAAAGGTGACCGGCATAGATGATAACAACTGCTAACATAAAGTGAATTACACAAGAAATGGTTACTGAATAAGAAGTTGCTTCTTTCTGAGCCACTGCATGATACGATCTTACAATATCACATTCATTTACTGGTTCTGAAAATCATGGTGTACAATATAAAGCACATTTACTGTTTTGCAATGGGAATGTTTACAGACAAATATCTTGTCCTACAAATGAGAATAAAAAGTGCAAGGTGTACAATACAGTATGCAGAACAAGACTGGCTTACTTAAAGAGCAGCTATCGCAAATACAAGTTTGGACATGTAGCTATTGACTAATCAGATAAAGTAACAAGATTCATGTTGATTAAGACTGTTTGGCATCCAAACACAGAACCTCATTGAGAGGTCTGACTATAACTAGTGTCCCTGCTGTTTTTCAAACGGTGACACACCATGATAAAACATGTTGGTCACATACAGTACCTTTTAAATAAATACGATTGAAATACACAATATCATATAAAGCACATAAAAACTGAAAACACAAGTTTAATATATTGTAGCTTACTGGCTCTTAGATGTGGTGGATACATTTGTTTTCTTTATCCAGACTTTTTTCTTGTTTTTCATCTTTAAAACCTGCATATGTCACACTTACTTCTTAGGGTGGCTACATCCATACCTCCACTAATTCTATGGAGGAAGCCATGGTTCTCATCCAGGCTGGATTTCAAACTGTTCACACTGTACTGCAGCTGTATGCCCATGAGCATGAAGCCTTAAGAGATACAGATTTTGAAGTGCAACTGTGGCTATGGACATTGCATTTTCATATGTTCCTAAAGCTGAACTCCAGGCACTAATGAATGCAGCTCTGTATCCAGAAACACATCATCAAGGGCTCAGTCACACCAGCAAGCCACTCTAAGCAGGTATGAATTGCCCACATTGGTAACAAATCTTTTTGCCTTGTCTTGTGCTGGGACTGCACTGGGCAAGGTAAGTACCTAAATTTAGTATGAGCCTCAGTTTGCAGAGCTTAGAGAAGGGGAGGGGGGAAGCAGTACAACGAGCCAATCATGTGTTTTGCCGTGGAAAATCAGTGTGTGTCTTCTCCTTTTACTGTCCAGTCACAGGGAAAAGTGGGAGGTCAAAGATGACAGACTGCAGTAAAAAAAAGCTGGGCATATTTCAGGACTGGATAGACAGTTCAAATCTTTTTTTCTGGAGTTCAGCTATACACAAAAGGTGGAAAATCTATTAATATCAAGGACCTTATAAGAAATAGGGCCATATTTTGCCTTTAGAACATCTACAATCTTTCTCGATATTCTGTCATCATTCTTGTATCATTCATCTAAAGGAAAACATCAGGTTCTTGGGGGTACCAAGGTTTGAGACTAAACTTTCATATCTTCCACATGTACTCCACATGTTCCTAGAAAGTTGGTGCAGAATTTTAAGGGGTGCCGTAAGTAAAAATAAAAGGCTGAGAAACACTGCTCTAACAAGTAGGTAAACCTTGAAATAAGATATAATGCTACTAGCTTGTAAATTATTTCATTTTTTATTAAATAAATGATATTTAATTTTAAATATAAAACTTTAACAAGGGTATACTCCAGGTAAATGAACACAGTTATTTCTAAATTTGTTCATGAAAGATGCTGAGACTGATCATCTTTATTGCTAAATTAAGACAATAACACAAAATGGCAAAAATGGAAAAACATAACATTCTAAATCTGCTTCACAAATAGTAATAAAGCCAAATTATTTTACAAACTGACCATCTGCTGTTCAATACAGTACAAAGAAATGCACTTATTTAATATGGGGGTTAGATTTAATGTTCAGTATTTACATTGGAGCTCAGCTTAAAAGAAAATCTGTTATCAAACCCACCATAAACTAAGCACATGGCTTCTAGTCATGTAACTGTTCAAGCAGCTTGCAAAGCATAACAGTAGAGAGTGGTGCATTTGCTTGGATTAAAATCAGATCAAAACATTGTTGTTCCTCTGCTGTTGATCAGGAAAACCATTGGGACCCCCCTGTTTCTTGCATAATTATTTTCATTGCAGGTAAAGTAAGTCACGGCAGCAGCATTTCTAGATCAGACTTTCACAATTTTCCATTTTCTTTGATGAGTCCCTCTACAAACATTTAAACTTATTTAGCCAATGTTCTAATTTGTTTATTTGTTTTGTGTATTGCTTAGACCTTAGCATTCATATTAGTAAGGTTGAGATGTTACAAGTAATATATTAGAGTGGGATGTGTGATGCATGCGTATCCAGCTTTCCTATGTGGAGTAGTTAAATTTTTTATTCCCTTACATTTCTGCTCAATCATAATTATGGTACCCAATAGAACTTATTGAACGTTACTGCATTGTATTTTGTACTATAGGACTGCTCTTATCTTCAGGCACTTTATGTAGCAACTTAGCACTGTAATTAAATGATATCTTGACACAGTAGGGACCCGGCAGGATCAGTAGTTCCTTACCCCACATTGGATATAAACATGAAACCCTTTCTTGAGGTTCCTCAGTTTTTACATTAGGGCCATGTGACCTACGATGTGACTGACCTTAACACCCTCTACAGACTTTTTTGACCTCTCACCCTGGGCCTACCTTACCACTTTCTCCCCCTAATGGCAATTCCTCCCCTCCTTTTTTAACCACCGCCTGCCATATAAGGAAATGACAGGTACAAAGTGGTTCTCTTGTTCTGGAAGGACGTCATATGACATCCTCCCACTCTAACCGCGCATGCGCGGCTCCCTCGGACACAGTGGCTCACCGATCAATGGAAAGAGCTGAAGATGTTAGCTTGGTCATGTGATCAGCTGTGTCCAATCACAGCTGATCGCATGTAAATAGGGAAATGCCGGTTATCGGCATTTCTCTCCTCACGAGCTGTCACGCTGACAGAGGAGAAGAGAGGAGAGCTGGTAATCGGCATTCCTCAGAGGGTACATGTACACTGATCATCAGGGCACTGATGATCAGTGTGTCCTAATGATCACTGTAGCCCCAGCAGTGCCACCTGTCAGTGTCCATCAATGCCAGCTGTCAGTGCTCATCAGTGCCTTATCAATGCCACATATCAGTGCCTACCAGTGCGAATCAATGCCACATATCAGTACCCATCTGAGCTTCCTTTCAGTGTCACCTATCAGTGCCAGTCAGTGGCACCTATCAATGCCAGTCAGTGCCACCTATCAGTGCTGCCTATCAGTGCCACCCAGTGCTGCCTATCAGTGCACATCAGTGCTGCCTATCAGTGCCCGTCAGTGCTGCCTATCAGTGCCACCTAACAGTGATACCTAACAGTGCCAGTCAGTTCCGCCTATCAGTGCCAGTCAGTGCCGCCTATCAGTGCCATATATGAGTGCTGCCTTTCAGTGCCCATCAGTGATGCCTGTCAATGCCCATCAGTGCCACCTACCAGTGCCTCCTCATCAGTGCCACCTATCAGTGCCCATCAGTGCAGCCTATCAGTGCCCATCACTGCAGCCTCATTAGCGCACATCATTGAAGGAGAAAACCTTTATAGCAGCAACTAATAAAAAAGGTTTTTTTTTCAAAATTTTCAATTGTTTTTGGTTTGTTTAGCAAAAAAATAAAAAACCCAGAGGTGATTAAATACCGCCAAAAGAAAGCTCTATCTGTCTCAAAAAAATTATAAAATTTTCATATGGGTACAGTGTTGCATGACAGCGCAATTGTCATTCAAAGTGCGACAGCGCTGAAAGCTGGAAATTGGCCTAGGCAGGAAGGGGGTATAAGTGCCCTGTAGACAAGTGGTTAATCAGATATTTATTATTTAAAAATAAAACAGGGTTATTTAAATTTTAACATACAAAATAAGTACATTGGCCTTACAAGCTATGGCCTTAGTACAAAAAGCAAAAAAAGCTTACATAGCTTACAAAGAAAAGTTAAAAACAAAGAAAAACAACAAAATGCAACAACATAAGTTGTCTCCAGGAGGTACAGCATACGGAACTCACTTAGGCGCCTTTTATGGGGATCATCAAAATAAGTACCATATAACTGTTTTCAAATTACTAAAGTGCATATAACATGCCATATTGTGTTTAAGTACCTATAAGTATATATATACTCCAACAACAAAAAACTTTTCTGAGAACCCACTCCACAAAATTAAGTGAGCTCACAGAAATAAAAATGGGAATTGTGTCAAAAAAAGAGGAGCTACAACAGATCACAGTATCAAAAACTAAATAAAGTTTATTAACAAAATGAGAATAGTAAAATGACATCTTCATTACAGCATTTTTTTTTCATCTCAAAGAAGGTTTATTGAGAAAAACATAAGAAAAACAAGTACAGGTTCCAGAGTATATGCATCCTTGCATTTACAGAGATAGACATCAACAACCTTCAAATCCATATTAAAACATTCTTAATTTAAAGCCATCTCCTTTTTATCATATCTCAAACATTATGATATTGAGTAAGCCTATAGGATCGACGTGTTTCAGATAACTTGCTTCTTCAGGAGACAAGCTTGAGTTTAGATTGAGCAGATGGCTTATTTACATGGACAGAACAAGTGTAACTTGCAGGAGAAAAACAATAGTAAGAATCCAGAAATTCAGGACAGAGTCTGTCTCGATTGCATTGAAGAGAGTATGTGAATATATTCAAGGACAGTGCATCTGCTCAATCTAAACTCAAGTGAGCATCCTGAACAAGCAAGTTATGTGCTATATGCTTACACAATATCATAATGTTTGAGATATGATAAAAAGGAGATGGCTTTAAATTAAAAATGTTTTTAATGAAGATGCATTTTACTATATCATTTTGTTTAATAAAATTAATTAAAATTTTTAATACTGTGATCTGTTGTAGCTGCTCTTTTTTTTGGCACAATTAAAGTCCCATTTTCATTTCTGTGAGCTCATTTCATTTTATGGAGTGGGTTTTCAGAAAAAATTCTGGTTATTAGTTTGACGATCGCAGCGTCAGACCCCAGCCCTTCTCACCAAACTCGTGACTAAAGGACTAGCCAATCTAAAACTGTGCTGTCACGTGCGTAACAATGCCATGCCCAGCTGCACCCTACACAAAGATTTTCCAGCTAATGGACCACAACCTGTTTGCTGGCAGCCTGGGAGCTATTGTTACTGGGTCAGGTTAATTACGCAATTAACCCTTCACACTGCCACCATCTCCTTTTTTGTACAGAGAAAGTGGAAACTCAGCAATAACACTATGATGTTTGAATAATCGTTGGTATACCACTGTGTCACCACAGGCAGAGATATACCAAAGTTTAAAACACACAGTAGTGCTCTTCAGAGGCAGGGATGCTTAGTTTGCATTCAAGAGCTTTAGAAACAGTTCAACACTTTCAGAAAGTAAGATTTATTACTAAAAGGTCAAAAGGGTGCAATAAAAATATTTACAGAAAAAGATGTAGCCAATATATATATAAATATACAGAAAGCAATAGCACAGCAAAGAGATAACAGAAAGGAATTTAGATAGATAAAGTACTTGCCAAAAGCCTTGGGTTAAGCAGCTTTCAAGTTTTCTGAGCAAAAGGGCGTTTTCTCCCAAAGTTGGTTCCGATGTAAAAAAAAGGGAGAACTCTTCAACTTAGCTCAACTCGGCTTAGCTTAGCTTTTCTAGGAACTCCACAGGGTGTCTCCCTGACTCAGAGAACCAATTGCCTCATTTGGGGACGGGGTTGTGTAGGCGGGGAGCTCAGGCTTTGACCAGAGCCTTCCCAAATTATACTATGGCCAATAACTTTTCCTCGGTACATATAACATTCTATCCACGAGTAGATTAATACCCAGAATCATCTGCTGAATGGTTAGATATGAAATATGAAATATCTGCTTGAATGGTTAAGGAGATATAATTTTCCGCTCTCCTGTGTATGTCAGATAGGGGGTGTAATATACCCGACGACTTGTCTTACAGTGAGCCATCCGAATATGTGTTCCATGTTTGCGTAATTATTTCCTATTTGGAGATATAAAATTATATGGAAAAGTGAGTTTTTAAATGTAAGTCTGTTTTTACGACTCCCTGGAATGTCTTTTGAAGGTCAGCGAGGGCTGGTTTATGGCTTGATGACCCCTTCTCCAGCAAGGGTCTTGCAGACAGGGGGGCACCTAGCTAGTGTGGGATTTACAGCCCTGGAGCTCTCCCACTGGGGCCTGTTGCCTTTTGAACTCAGCAAACACACACAGACCACATTCCTGAGGGAGGGGGGAAATTGGAGGAGGAAGCCTGATTTTGGGAGAGAGAGATGATACAAAATGGAAGATTCTTAACAAGATGGATGACCGTGTCCATCTCGGTGTGCACAATTGCTACAATTAGGTTATTTGAGGATGGTGCCATAATGAGGAACCTTGCTGTATGCTCATTTCACATAATAAGTTGAGAAGTCTCATTTTATGCCAGCAACAGAATGTTGAACCCTTAAAGTTTCACTGAACCCACAACAGTAAAATCAGTCTGTATATGCAGTAAAGCATGCTTGTTATACTCGCTGTGGATCTTAAGGGGTTAATCCTCTGCGTTGTGTAAAATTGCTATTTGATCCTGACTTCTCCGATCCTCCCCTATTATTTCCTGATGAGACATATCCTGTGGAGTTTCTCTGCACATGCTCAGCTTGATGTGTATTGCTGGAGAGGTTTTTTGTTTCTTGGGAGAGTAAAATGAAAACTGCTCCTACAAGCTTTAACATGTGCTCTGCTGGACACTGATAGAAGTCACAAGACTGCTTTGCTTTAACTGCTGATGAGAAACGGTATTTAGCAGTTTATATTTACTAAAATAATTGAATTTCCATGTTCTGTGTACTGTGGGAGACCAGATATAGTGAATGCAGGGTCCTGGGTTTAGTAACACTTTAAGCATTTATACCAGTGTAAGGGATATGAAGTAAATATCATAATAAAGAATGGTTGCAATCATAACAACCTTGCATCTGTGTGGTTATTCTCAACCAAGCATGATAGCTTCAGATGGAGGGGGAGACATGGTTATAGTAGATCAGAGAAAATTCCACCACTCAAAAGCCTGTCCCTGTCCAGTTGCAATGGAGCTAAACCAGGAGTGCCCAGACAGTGCCCAGAGAGTTGTCAGAAAAAATACGATGCCGATTACGTTTAGCCTGCGATGCTAACTTCAATAACAAACCTCTGCAGTATGCTTTATGAGCGCACCATACATTAGTTGCACTAGTGTCAGGAGATACATTAAACTCAAAATATTCCTCTAAAGCAGCAGTAATAACAGAGCGGGAAGAATTATTACAAAACATGTAGACATCGTTACACCATAGGAATACTGGAGTAAATTTCAAAGTCTCCTCAATGCTCAGAGAGATAGGAGCGTGGTCCGACCACCTCATTGGGTGGATCTCCATCTTAGAAATATTTTGTAGTAGTTGTAAATCCTTTAGGAAGAAATCTATTCGTGAATATGATTTGTGAGGGGCTGAGTAGTGTGTGAAGTCCTTTTCAGAAGTGTGTAGGCATCTTCAGGGGTCATAAAGGTTTGCTTCCGTGATGGTGTGTGGGCTAAGGACTGTCTCAACTGACGTGAAGGATTGGAAGTATCTAGTGAGTTGTTGATAATAGCGTTGAAATCACCGCAATATAGTAGGAAGCCCCTTTGAATTTTTGCCACTTTTTTCTGTAGGGAGTTGAAAAAATGAATCTGATGGGTATTGGGGGCATAGAGGTTCACAATGGTATAGGCAATATTGTTGATTTCAGATACGAGGATTAAGAATCTGCCCTTGCTGTCTGACACCTGAGACTGTAGTGAAAAAGCAACAGAGTCATGAATAGCAATTAGAACACCGCATTTCTTAGCAGGCCCATTGGATGTAAAAATATGTGTGAATAGGTGGTTAAAGCAGTATGGAGCTTTAGAGGGGGAAAAATGTGTTTTCTGAACACAAAGCACATCACCATGCAGCCATTGGACTTCTTTCCACAGCATGTGGCGTTTGAAAGGGCTATTAAGGCCATGAGCATTCAAAGAGACAATCTTTAAGACCATGAGAAAACTTGAGATTGTGAGATGTGGTCACCCTCAAGTGGTAGAAACGAAAGTGGCATGACAGGATATACAAGCTGAAAAGGTAATCTTACATGAATCATGGTTTTCCATCGTGGGAGAAGAAGTTGCATCCCTCCGACATCAACGTAAGATGCCCTACGTAGATCCAGTGGTACAAATAGTGTTGCTGCTCTGAAAAAAAAACACTTAAAAAAAGGAGGAAAACTTGTAAAGAAAAACGAAAAACAAAAGAGTAACACATAAGTTCGCGTGAATCAAA